CCCCGGACCGACCGCGGAAAAGGTCGCCGGGCAACCGACGAACCAATCGGTAGGCGAGAACATCTACGCGCCGATGACGTTCGACGAGTACGAAGCGAACATGGACCTCATGTACCGCAAACTCAGGAACAGCCTGTCGCCGAACGGGACCATGATCTTCGCGACGACGACGCCCGTGCCCCCGTCCTACGACGCCGAGAAGCGCGTCAACAGCGACGTCGTCGAGCTCAACGCCCGCGCGCGGAAGCTCTTCGGCCCGACGGGCAAGTACGCGGACGTGCGGATCAACGACCTCTACTCCAACCTCGTCGAGATCTGCAACAACGACCCGGCGACCCGGGGCTACCCCGAGACGTCGGACTGCGCGCTCATCCAGGACGACGGCGTCCACTTCTCGCCCGCGGGCCAGCGGCTCAACGCCATCGCCGTCGCGGCGCACGTCGCGCCCGCGGCGTCCGGCGCCGCGTACGCGGGGGACCGCGACTCGGAGATCGAGAAGCTCAAGAAAGACTTCCACTGGGAGCACTGGAAGGTCGCGCTCGTCGCCCAGGCCGCGCTCCTCGTCGCGCTCGGCGCGCTCGCGTCGGCCGTCGTCGCCTACCGCGCGCGCCGCACCGCGCGGCGCTACGCCGCGGACGACGAGGCGCCCGCGGCGCCCGACGGGGCCGAGGACGCCGCGCCGCTCACGCCGCGGTCGCAGCCCCACTCGCCCTTCCACGGCCGCAAGGAGCTCGCGATCAACTTCAACCCGGGCGGCGACCGGGCCCGCTTCGCCGCGGGGGACCACGGCGCGCGGCCGCGGAACGGCTCCGGGTCGCGCCTCGTCGACGACGACGGCCGCGCGAACGCCGGCTCGCCGGACCCGGCGGACCTCGTCCACCCCTGCTCGCCCTTCTCCCCGGACGAGCGCCGCTCCGACCCGATCTACCCGCAGTGCGCCATCGACGAGCTCCGCCGGCCCGAACTCTCCGAGTCCTCGCGGCGCATCTTCGAGAGAACGCTGTAAGCGCGGACTCATGGGCGCTTGCCTCTCTAATGACGGCTACTAGAGAAGCCGCCATGGCGAGGGTCCGTCACCAGTCCGCGGCGGGCACCGCGGGCGGGCGCGCGCCCGAGAGCAGCAAAAACGCGAGGGGAAGGCAGACGACGACGACGAACGCGACGGCCTCGGAGAGCATCGATGGCCTGTGCGACGAGGTGTCAGGCGCGCTGGGCTCCGCCCGTCGGTCATCCGCGAAGCGTCTTGCGGGCGGGAATATTGGCGCCTCTCTCTCTGGCCCCGAGGATAATACTCCTGTCGCCACGCGCCTCCACGGGAGTTGGCTGGCGCGCGGACGTTTTAGCGATAGCAGGGCGATCCTTTGGCGTCTGCTGCGGACGCGGCGCGACGCGCAGGTTGTGGTCCTCCCTCTGGCGGCGCGCGGCGAGAGCAGCCACTCCCAGCTCTAGGGCGATCCTTTGGCGTCTGCTGCGGACGCGGCGCGACGCGCAGGTTGTGGTCCTCCCTCTGGCGGCGCGCGGCGAGAGCAGCCACTCCCAGCTCCTTGCCACAGTTACCACAGCCCACTCGAGCCTGATAAGTTCAACTGTAGTTCAACGTTCCTTACTGAAGCGCCCAGCCGCCGACCCCTGCAGCCACAATGGCAGGCAACAGCGCGAACATGGCCACGGCCCTGGGCCCGAGGGGCTTCGCGAGCGCCTTCGTCAGCACGCGGAGGTCCTTGCGCCGGCCCGTCTGGACGAAGCCGTTGCGCTCGAAGAAGCGGAGGCCGCTCTCGTTGAACTTCTCCACCTCGAGCTGGAGGTCGCCGCCGCCGGCGCGCGCCGCGAGCTTCGTGACCTGGGCGAGGAGCTTCTTGCCGACGCCGCGGTCGCGGGCCTTGGTGGCCACGGCGATGACGTCGAGCGTCTGCGGCTCGCCCGGCCGCAGCACGGCCATGCCGAGGATATCGGCGCGGTCGCAGGCGACGCAGAGCGTGCCGTCGCCGACGCGGCGGATGAGGCTCGCCGTCTCCTTGCGCGCCGTCGGCTCGTCGAGCGCGGCCTCGATGACGTAGGTGTTCGCGGACCGCGCGCCGCGCTGCGCGAAGCCCTTGACGAGCGGCGCGAGCTCGCGGTACGAGTCGCGCATCTGGTCCGCGTTGAGCGTCTTGAACGTCAGCGCGGCGGTGTACTGTACCAACAACAAGAGCAGCGCGGCGCCGCTAGGGAGCCTCATCGTCGTCGGCAGTCTTGCGAGCTGCGACGCGTTTCGCTCTTCGCTGCGCCACGTTTGGGAGCGGTGCGATGTTGGCGCGATCGATGTAGTCGCTCGCACTGGTCCAGCAAAGACGACAGCTCAGGCCAGAATGAGAGGCCGGAGGGGGGACAGGCCCGCACAAAAAGAAGCAGAGCATGTTGCCTTCGCAACCCATCTCACAGCCGCTCGAGCGACGGTCAGCTTACAGCGCACGGCCCGTTCTAGCGGATCGCCTGGCCCTCGGTCTCGGCGTCCGAAAAAGCCTCGGCGCAGAAGTCGGACGCGGCGTTCTTCTCGGAGCCGCCGTCGAGGTCCGCGTCGTCGTCGAGGTCCGCGTCGTCGTCGAGGTCCGCGTCCGCGTCGAGGTCCGCCGCGTCGAGGTCGGCGTCGTAGGGCGCGGCCGGCGGGAAGACGAAGCCCTTGGGCTGGACGTGCGCGGGCGCGAGGGGCTTGTCGTCGTCGTCGGCGCCGTGGAGGTCCGTCGCCGCGGCGAGGGCCCGGTCGTCGGCGACCTCGACCCCGGCGGCCTCCGCCGCCGTCTCCTCGAGGGCCAAGGCGTCCTCGACGGCCGCGGCCTCCTCGGGCGACAGCGGCGGCAGCGCGACCCTCGCGGGCGTGAGCCGCGCGTTCGGCAGCGGCGCGCTGTGGTACGCGATGCGCTCGCGGTCGCCGCAGAGCGCCGCCTTGGCCGCCGCGGCCTCGTCCGCCGCGAGCTCGTCCAGGTCCGCGGCGTCGTCCAGGTCCGCGGCGTCCGCGTCCGCGGCGCCGGCTTCCGACGCCGGCGCCGCGAGGGCCGCGGCTTTCTCCGCGACGGGCGGCGCCGCGACGGCCGCGGCTTTCTCCGCGACGGCCGGCGCCGCGAAGACGCCGGCCTTGGCGACGACGGGCGTCGCCGGCGGCGAGAAGGAGCCCTCCTGGTCGCGCGCGCGCGGCGAGAACGACCCGGAGCGCGACGACGCCGTCGACGCCGGCGGCGACGCCGCGCCGCCCCCGCCGTCGCGGTCCGCGCGGAGCCGCTCGACGTGGGCGCTCGACAGCTCCAGCGCGTTGTGCACGAGCGCGCCGCCGATGAGGACCGCGGCCTTGAGGCACGCGCCGACCGTCGCGACGCAGACGTGCAACGCGTAGGTCGCGTAGAACGCGAGGCCCCGGGACTCGCCGTCGAAGACGCGGCCCGCGTGCTCCGCGAGCTTGACGGCGGCCTCGGACCAGGCCTTGGCCTTGTCGACGGCGACGAGGAAGCCGTCCGGGTTCTCCGGGAGCACCAAAAGCAGCGTCGACACGGGGTCGACCTTGCGGTCGTTGAGCTTCGCGAGCGCGCGGCGCGCGTGCGGGTACCAGTGGCGGATCGCGGAGACGTCCCGGCCCAGGAACTCGTAGGACTTGCGCAGCGTCGCGCAGACGCGGCCGTAGAAGATCATTTCCTTGGGCACGTTCGTCATCACGGGCATGGCCTTGGGGTTGTGCTGCATCATGTCCTCGAGCGTGTCGAGCGCCCCCTGGGGCACGAGGCCCTCGCCGCTCATCGACGTGTCGAAGAAGTAGTGCAACAGCGCGAGCTGCAGGTCCAGGTCCTCCGTGTTGAAGCTAAAGTCGTCGTTCATGGCCACGGCCTGGGAGATGATGAACTTGTTCCGCGTCCGCAGGAGCATGACGATGTGGCAGAGCATGCGGAGCGACTCGTCGCTCACCTCGACGCACTGGCCGAAGTCGATGAGCCCCGCCGTGCCGTCGTCGAGGAGCATGACGTTGCCCGGGTGCCTGCGGCGCGCCGTCGGGCGCGGGGAAAAGCGGCAAGAAAAGCGGCGGGAACGGGCGCCGCGGGACGCGCGGGTCCGCGTGGAAGAACTGGTCGCCGAACATCATCGCGCCGATGGCCTCGGCGACGTCCTCGATGGCGTCGAAGGCCTTGGCGAGCACGCGCTCGTCGCCGCGGTGCGAGTCGACGAGGGACGCGATGGTCTTGCCCCGGAGGAACTCCTGCGTCAGGATCTCCTTGCTGCAGAGCTCCATGTAGGGCTCCGGCGCGTAGATGGGCAGTTTCCGCCGCGCGATGATCTCCCGCGCCTTGTTCAGGTACTTTGCCTCGTTCTCGAAGTCGAGCTCCTTGGGGAAGTTCTCGCAGAACTCGTTCATGATGACGTCGATCGTGTCCTTGAGCGGCATGTCCATAAGCGCGACGATCTGCTTCGACGCGACGCGCGCGTTCGCGAGGTCCGCGCGCATGTTCGCGCGGATGTCCGGGTAGATGACCTTGACGATGGCGCGGCGGCCGTCGTACAAGGTCGCCGCGTGGACCTGGCCGATGGACGCGGCCGCGAGGCACGTTTGCTCGACGTCGGCAAAGTACGCGGCGAGGCCCCGCCGCGACGGCGCGACGGCCGCGTTCTCCGCGAGGCCGCGCAGCATGGCGCCCTCGATCTGCTTCCAGGGCCGCGGCGCGAAGTTCTCGAAGGACCGCTTGAGCTCCTTGATCCACGTCGGCGGCAGCAGGCCGTCGCGCGTCGCCCAGTCCTGCGCCATCTTGTTGTAGAGGCCGCCCATGGACTCGAAGAGCCGGCGCACCTGGACGGCGGACGTCTCGTGGGTCTCGTCCCAGAGCTTCGTGCGCTGCTCGTAGTAGGACTCGGGCTCCTTTTTTTTGAGCTTCTTCCGCATCTTCGACGCGCGCATCTTCACCCGGAGATATTTGATCGTGATGGGCATGACGCCCAGCGCGAACTTGAGGTTGCGCCGCATGCCCGTCAGCGAGAAGGAGTGCGTGACCTTCGACGACGCGTTGAACTTCCGCGAGCTCAGGCGCCGCAGCAGGCCCCGCTTCTTCTTGACCTTTTCGCCGTCCGCGACCTCGTGGACGCGGACGCAGAGCCGCGCCTCGCCGCCGGGGCCGCAGAGCCCGTGGGCCTCGTCGTGCATCCAGGCCCGGGGGCAGAGCTTCGCCGTGCCGTAGGTCGTGTAGACCTTGAGCGCGCGGTCCGGCGCCGCGCCCATCAACACGGGCTGCGTCTCGTCGCTCCGCCACGCGACGTGGCTCCCGTGCCGCGACACGACGCTCAGGCTGAACTGGACGCGCACGGCGGCGCGGCCGCCCTTGTACCGCAGGAACGCCGCGACGTGCTCCAGGGCGTCGGGCCGGTAGCCGCCGGGGTAGAGCTCGAGCTGCCAGCTGTGGCCGCCGAGGCTAAAGGTCGGACTGCAGGTCTTGACCTTGAGGCCGCTCTCGAGGGCGTCGAAGTTGGCGATCTGCCACTCGTAGGCCATCGTTTTCGAGCGTGCCCCGTTGCACAGGGCGCAGCAGGCACGAGGCTCGCGGCGCCAACAGGCAGCCCGATTGGTGTCGTCGCGTGAAATCCTCGAGAGGCGGCATGTGAACATCGAGAGTCAACACGCGAAGGTGCCGCATCGATGCCGCCGTGCTGCATGCTGGCACCACGCGATCGAGAGCCGCCATCGAGAGTCGTCGTCGAGAGCATCGAGAGCCGATCGGAGCATGGCCACGCCACGTTTTGCTGCAGCAGCGCTCCTCCTCGCGGCGGCCCGCGCGCTCGTCGCGCCGCCGTCGGCGCCGCGCCGCGTCTCGCGCAGCGCGCTCGCGGCGAGTGTCACCAAGTCGGACGTGGCCAAGTGCCTGCGCCGCGAGTACGTGAGCTTCTTCGCACCTTTGGAGAGCGAGTACTACTCGTCGTCCGTGACGTTCGACGACCCCCTCTCCTCCCTAAGCGGCCTCGACGCCTACCGCGGCAACGTCGACATGCTCGCCGGGCGCACGGCGCTCGGCAAGGTGCTCTTCAGCGACGCGTCGATCAACCTCCACGACGTGAGAGAAAAGGCCGACGGCGGCCTGCGGACGCGGTGGACGCTGCGCGTCTGCTTCCAGGCGCTGCCCTGGCGGCCCGTGGCGCGCTTCACGGGCGTCTCGGACTACGCGCTCGACGCCGACAACAAGATCACGGGCCAGACGGACTACTGGGACAGCATCGATCTGGGCTCCGACGGCGCGTACAAGCGGTCCTCGAAGCTCGACGGCATCAAGGACTTCGTGGACCAGCTCTTCGGCGCGACGCCGGCGAACGACGGCGAGCTGCCCTACGAGCTCCTGCGGCGCGGCGCGGCCTACAGCGTCCGCCGCTACCCCGCGGTCGCCGTCGCCGAGGTGAGGTACGACCAGCGGCCCGAGGGCTACGACGTGCTCGGCAGCTACGCCGGCGGCTTCAACGCGGACAAGGCCAAGCTCCAGCCCTTCCTGCCGTCGATCATCACCGTGCCGCGGAGCGGCGCCGGCTCGAAGACGATGACGTGGCCCATGGCCATCGGCGACGACGCGACGCTGCCGGACTCGAACATCGTCAAGAGCCGCGTCGCCCAGCAGGTCACCGTGGCCTGCCTGACCTTCCCCGTCGCCGCGACGGGCGATGCCGTGGCCTACTTCGCGTCCGAGCTCGAGAAGCGGCTCGCGGCCGACGGCCTCTCGCCCGCGCCGGGCCACGACGCGAACTGGGTCGTCGCCCAGTACGACGCGATCTTCTCCGTCGGCGACCGGCGCAACGAGATCTGGATCCCCCTCGCGCCGGGCCACCTCTGGGACTAGGCGCACGTAACGTTTAGGCGCGCTCCTTGAGCTTGCGGATGATCTTGGTCCGCGTGACCCACTGGTCCCAGTCGCCGCCGATGGTGAGGTAGTGGAGCTTGTAGGCGCCGCCGCCGTGGACGCCGGCGATCTCCGCCTCGTAGAGCTCGCGGCCCGTGCCCCAGGGCACCTTGACGCGCGCGCCGACGGCGAGCGCGACGCGCGACGCGCCGTCCGGCGGCGCGAGGTCCGCGACGCGGACGAGCTCGTCGTACTTCTTCGCGTAGGTGTCGTAGTGGACGCGCGCGAACTTGGGCTTGCCGCCCTTCTTGGGCTTGGGCTCCGCCGCGACGACGCGCGCGCGGACCTGCTTCGCGTGGAACGTCACCACCACGACGTCGCCCGGCGCCGGCTCGTAGTCGCAGCCGTAGACCCGCGGCTTCGGGCGGTCGCCCTTGGCGCCGCCCCGCGCGCGCTTCTCGTCGAAGGCGTCGGGCAGGCACGCGCGCGACGCGGACGCGACGGCCCTGGGGCTCGCGGGCCGCGCGAAGCCGCGCGACTCCGCGCGCCAGTGGGCCAGCGCGTCGTCGACGTCGGCGAGGAGCGCGGGCCAGTCGAAGCCGTCGTAGGACCGCCCCGCGCGCCGGTTCAGCTTCTCGACGTCGTCGTCGAACTCGAGGATGATCGCCGCCACCAAATGCCGCAGCTTCAGGAGCGCCTCGGACCGCTCCCGCTCGACGCCCGGCGCCGCGGCCTCGCCCCGCGCCAACGCGTCGCTCACGGCGTCGAGGGCCTTCATGGAGCCGTGCGTGCCGTTCCAGAGGATCTCCGCGGGCCGGATGCCCGAGCAGTCGCCGTCGACGAGCGCGCGCCAGAAGCCGCTGAGGTTCGCCGTGTCGAGGTGGAAGCGGTGGTAGCTTAGGGCCGGCGTGAGGTTGCGCACGGCGTGGAGCGTGCCCTGGGGCATGACGAGGCACTCGCCGGGCTTGAGCACGTGGCGCCAGCACCGCACGAGCGACAGCACGGGCTCCGCGGCGAGCGACGGCGGCGTCGGCAGGGCCAGGAGCTCGTCGAGGCGCGGCCGCGCGCCCCGGGGCGGCGCCGCCGACGCGACGATGTGGTCCTCCGAGGGGTCGTTCGTCCGCGCGTCGTAGGGGTCGTCGTCCGCGGGCGCCGCGGCCGACTCGTCGTCGCTCGAGCCCTCGCCGGCGTCGCCCAGGGCGTCGTCGTCGCACATGGCGCCGACGAGCTCCGCGTCCTCGCGGTGGACCAGCGTGACCTCCTTCCAGCCCACGAGCGGCGCGATGACGAGATCGAGGCCGCCCGGGTCGACGTGGAGCTTGGAATTCGTGCCCCCGGAGCCCATGAAGAGGTACTGGAGCGGGCTCGCGCCGCGCGTGCGCTCGAGCCAGTGCACGAGCAGGTCCGGCTCGAGGCCCACGAGCCGCGGCGCCTCGAACGTCGCGCCGCCGCCGTCGCGGAGCAGCGAGTCGACCTACGAACGTCGAGGTCTCGCGGGAACACAAAAATCAAGAACCGAGACGCGGCGGAGACGCGCCGTCGACGGCGCGCCGAGGGGGAACTGCCACTGGTGGAGGTAGGCGGAGCCGTCGCCCGCGCGCCAGTGCTTTTCGACGAACTCGGCGACGCGCATCGATTCGCGGATGGGCTTGTCGTCCGCGTAGGTCTCGTCGTAGCGCAGGATCGGCGCCTTCTCGCCGCCGATGTCGCGCACGAGGGCCGCGTCGTCGAGGGAGCCGTCCTTGCGCAGCCAGCGGCCGGCCTGCGGCGGGGGCCGCGAGAATCAGAAAACCGGGTCGATCAGAAGCGAATTCCGTTCCCCGACGAAGACGGGCGAATCGGGACGTCGGGGGCGGCGGGAAAACGCCCGGGGACGCGGAGAAACGCGCGAAGGACGTCATCGTGCGCGGGTCGACGTGGGTGAGCACGCACGGCGTGCCGCCGCGGCGGAGCTCCTTGGCCCGTAATGCGGCCCCCGCGTCGCGGCCGTCGATGGCCTCGAGGTCCGGGAAGACGAGGGGCGCGTCGACGCCGAAGTCGGCTCGGGGCGCGTCCGGCGAGACGTAGGCCTTGCCCGAGTCGGCGCTCGGCGCGGGCGACGCGGAAACGGTTCTCGCCAGTTTCGCCTGCTTCGCGGCCGGCGCCGCGCGCGGCGCGGGCGGCGCCGGCGCGTCGGCCGAGGCTTTCGCGGCCGTCGGGGCCTTGGCCTTGGCCTTGGCCGCCGGCGCCTTGCGCTTCTTCGGCGCCGATCGGTCCGGGACGACCGAGGACGCGTCCGCCAGCGCCTTGGCCTCGGCGGCCGTCACCGCGCCGTCGGCGAAGAAGGCACCGGCGTCGGGCGCGTCCCAGTTCGGCGCCACGTGGCCCAACGTCTCGCGGCAGGCGAAGACGTCCTTGAGCCCGCCGAGCTTGCACGCGACGCAGAGCTTCGGCGTGCATTCCGAGGCGACGGCGCAGCAGCGGCGGGAAGGGCGCGCGGCGGCGACGGAGTCGCCCGACGACTTCGACTGCTTCCGAGGCATCGTGGGAGGCGTTGGTTCGCGAATGGCAGCGGTGCGCGAGGACGGGGGCGTCGCCGGGTCACACGAACGCGGGCGTCGAGCTCCACGAGTCGTCCGGAGGCAGCGAGCTCAAATCGTCCGCTCTCCGGGCCCGGTTTGTATGTTTTTGTTATGTTGAAGTAATTGCCGTGTTTTTCGCCTGGGCTGCACTGGCCAGGTCCCTCATGCGCGTCCGCTAGACTCCTGTTCTAGACGACGGCGTCGAAAAGCGCGGCGACAGCCGTGCGAGGTCTCCCCGAGAGGTCGTAGTCCCTCCCGGAGTCCTGCGAGACGGCCCGGCGGGCGCGTGTCGACTGTGGCCGGCGGCGGGCGGAGATTTCAAGAGCGCTTCGCCGAGCAGCATGGGAGGCGCTTCTTCCCTCCCGGCCTACGCGCCGGACAGCCTTTCGAAGAAGGTCCAGAAGATCCCGGACCGCTACGTGGAGCTCCGCAACCCCAACGGGTCCGTCGTCCACCTCGTCGGCGTCGCGCCCCTCGCGGCCGACCAGCCGGCGAAGGTGCGGGCCCTCATCCGCGCGGCGACGCCGGACAGCGTGCTGCTGCAGCTCTGCGCGGAGCGCGTGCCGCCCGTCTGGGAGCTCATCGAGCGGGGCACGCTGCGCGCCGACGGCTCCGTGCGCGACCCGCTCAAGCCGCTGTCGTACGACGTCGCGGCGGGCGACAGCCGGCTCCGCGACTTCGCGTGGTGGTTCCTCGGGGGCCTCGAGGCCGAGGGCGTCGCCGCGGGCCAGGGCGCGTGCCTCGGCGCGGCCCAGGCCGCGGCGGCCCACGAGGCGAGCCGTCTCCGCGCGCAGACGCACCTCCTCGACCGCCGGCTCTCCGCGACGGCGAATCGGTGCGTCAACGCGGCCGTCGCGGCCTGGTGGGCCGCGCCGTCCGGGTCCGCGGACGGCGACGCCCTCGCGGAGGCCCTGGCCGTGCTCCTCGCGGCGGCGTCCGGCGACCCGGCGGACGGGGACCGGGTCCGCGGCGCGCTGGACGCCGTCGCCGCGGAACTCGCGGCGCCCGGCGACTCCGCTCCTCCGAAGACGGCGGCCGCGGCCGTCTTCGGCGCCTGCAAGCCGCTCCTCGGCGCCGAGCGGAGCGAGATCCTCGCGCACCGCTGCTGGGAGGCCGCGGAGAGCCTCGGGCCGGGCGGCGTCGCCGTCGCCGTCGTGGGGGTGGAGCACGTCGACGGCATCGCGGGCCACTGGTCGAAGACGGACCCGAAGCGCGTCGAGGCGCTCCTCGGCGCGCCGCCGGCCTACGAGACCCTCGGCGCCCTCGCGCCGGGCCTCGCGGCCGCGGCGGCCGCGTGCGCGCTGCCCGCCGCGCTGCCCCGCGGCGGGCCCCGGGGCCTCGCGCTCGCGGCGCTGGCCGCGGCGCCCGTCGTCGGCCTCGCCTGGGCGACGCGGGACCGCGCCCTCGCCTACACGAAGGTCGCCCGGCTCCAGCGGGACCTCGAGGACGTCCGCGACCGCGCGCCGTCGCTCCGCGCGTCGAACTGGTCCAGCAAGTAGGACCCGGCCTAAGTACGGACGTGCGAATTAGTGCTTCTCGTAGTCGGCCATGCCGCCGCCCATGAAGAAGGGCTGGGCATCGCGGTCGACGACCATGTCGAGGATCGGCTCCGCGGCCTGGGCGTCGTCCGGGTCCTGCGTCGAGCAGAAGAAGAGGCCGCCGCCCTTCGGGGGCGGTTTCTCGCCCTTGGCCTTCTTCGGCGGGTCGTGGCTCGTCGAGCAGAAGTACATGCCCGGGTCCGCGGGCGCGTCGTCGGCGGCCTTGGGCGACGCCGTCGAGCAGTCGACCTGGGGGTCGCCGACGGGCACGGCGCGGGCCGCGAGGGCCGCGACGCCGTCGATGATGCGCACGGTGTTCTCCGCGGGCAGGTCCATGAGCTCGTCGCCCGCGTCGTGCGTCTTCGGGTCCAGCTTCCCGAAATACTTGTCCTTGAGCTTGCCCGCCCAGGACCGCTCCGGCGCCGTCATCTCCACCTCCTTCGTCCCGCGCTTGCTCTTCTTTTTCTTCTTCTTCTTCTTCTTCTTGGCCTCGGGCTCGGGCTCGGGCTCGGGCTCGGGCTCGGGCTCCGGGTCCGGCTCGTCGTCCGGTTGGTAGTCCGCGGAGCACTTGATGAAGTTCAGCAGAAAGATGAAGCAGGGCCAGGTGCAGAGCGCGTGGCGGTAGTCCTCGTCGCAGGCCGCGGCGATGATGGCGTTGGCCTTGTCGTCCGTCAGGTTCCGGTTCGGCGGGCACATGCCGTTGACGTAGAACTCGCACGCGAACTTCAGGAACGGCCGCAGCGTCAAATCCCGGAGCCCCGCGTTGGCCTCGGCCTGCGTCGACGAGTCGATCTTGAACTCGAGCTTCTTGCCCTTGGCCTGGCACTCCGCGAGGCGCTTGTACAAGTCGTGGAACTGGGGGATGAGCTCCGGCGGGATCGACGTCCCGAACAAGTCCGCGGCCTTGCGCGCGGACTCGACGCCGAGCTTCATCTGGGCGTACTCCTCCTTGATCTCCTCCGTCGACTCGGCGAAGGCGATGGTCGTGATGCCGATGATCACCGTCGGCAGCATCCACGCGCCGAAGAGGATGAGCCCCACAAAGTAGAACGCCGCGACCCAGCCGAACGCGCGCGGGTTCGCGCACTCGACGTCGTTGAAGGGGTAGCCGTAGCGGTCGCAGCCGTACATGTTCGTGTACATGATGGCGTCCCAGCCGTCGATGGTGCACACGGCCCAGACCGCGGCGACGGCCTGCGCGAGGTTCCCGAAGTGGCCCGGGTCGTTCACGCGGAAGAGGAGCATGCCGATGACGGCGAAGACGTAGACGACGAGCACGAGCACCACCGTCGCGTAGAAGACGTTCGACGACGCCTTGATCAGCGAGCCCACGGCGACGTGGAGCGCCGGGTAGAAGTTGACGAGCTTGAGCAGCCGTAGCAGCCGCATCATCGCGACGCCCGGGAGCTTGTCGCTCGCCGCGGGCACGAGGCCCAGCACGGACACGAGGACGATCACAAAGTCGAAGACGTTCCAGGAGTCGGCGAAGTAGCGGTAGGGCGCGCGGCCGCACGCGACGATCTTCAAGACGCACTCGACGACGAAGACGCCGAGCACGGCCGTGTCGATCAAGATCAAGTTCTCCTGGCTCACGGGCTCCGACGGCGTCAACGCCAACGCCTCGATGATGCCCGCGCAGAAGATGCAGATGACGACGAGGCCCGGGAACGCGTGGCCGCCGAGGATGAGCCGCGCGGTCAAAACGACGCGGTGCTCGACCACCTCCTCCTCCTCCTCGCCCTCCTTGTGCTTGTGCTCCATGAAGGCGTCGAAGAGGGACTCGAAGATCTCTTTCTCGGGCCCCCGGAGCATGTGGTCGCAGAGCTCCTCGGACGTCTTCGCGTCGGAAAACCGCGACGTGAGGCCGTCGATGTGGAGCGCGTGGGCCAGCGTCTCGTGGGTCTGCTGCCAGATGGAGTTGCGCTCGCGCACGAACCCCAAGCCCGCGTCCGCCAGGATCGACTGGCGCTGGACCTTCTTCCGCGCCGCGCGGTCCGCGTCGTCCGCGTCGTGCGACAGCTCGTGGAGGCGGCTCGGGTCGACGATGGACATGCGGTGGTGGGCGACGGCGTTGACCGTCGACGCGGCGGCGACGGCGGCGTCCGGGTCCTGGGCCGCGTTGTGCTCCAGCTCCTCCTCCTTGTCCGCGTAGAGGATGTCGAACATGGCCATGTCGATCGCGGAGATGAAGAGGTTCAGCACGACGAAGGCCGTGAGCATGGTGAAGCTGTAGAAGTAGACGATGGCGTCGAACTTGCGCGGCGTCGGGTCCGTGCACTCGTAGTTGTAGAAGCGGCCCATCATCGTGTCGAACATCGTGAGCCGGTCCGCGGCCTCGTAGCCCCAGTCCTCGCCGCCCCGGTCGCAGCCCTTGTAGTTGATCATGTAGCGCGAGCTCCAGTCGCTGCACGTCGACGTCACGAAGAGCGTGAGCATGGCGATGGGCACGGTCCCGAAGTGCACGGGGTCGTTCTCGCCGAAGGACTTGACGCCGATGATCGCGTAGAGGAAGAAGATCATGTTCAGCAGCACGATGATGGACACCATGGCCCGGCAGCCCGCGATGATGCCGTAGAGCACGCGCCGCGTCTCCGGCGTGCGGTTCAGCAGCTTGACGAGGCGCGCGAGCCGCAGCACGGGCAGCACGACCGCGCCGCCGCCGCCGCCCATCAACGCGAAGGACAGGATCACGATGGTGCCGTCGAAGGTGTTGATGCCCGCCTCGGGCCCCGTGAGGTAGCGCAGGGGCCGCGACCCCTCGGCGACGATCTTCGCGACCATCTCGCCCGCGAAGACGGCCATGGAGCAGTACTTGACGAAGACGACGAAGAACGCGAGCGCGTCGTCGCTGGGCCGGCCCATGTCGGGCCGCGCGATGAGGTGGAGCGTGAAGGAGACTGCGACGAGGCAGATGGTCGCGTTGATCAACAGGTCGAAGAAGGGGCTCCGCACCATGGCGACGAACGCCATACACACGCCGCGGTGGCAGCCGCAGAGCGGCACGTTAATGAGCCCGTCGCGGTACGCGCAAGTATAAAATCGGTCCGTCTCCTCGTCGTACCAGAAGTAGTCCGCCAGCGACCGCGGGTCGACGTCGTCGACGGCGAAGACGAGCTTCTCGTGCGCGCTCACGACCGCGCAGCAGTCGCGGCGGATCGTCTCGGGGTCCGTTGCGTCCATGTCGAGGCTCTCGGAGGCGCGCCGCGACGCGCGCTGGGCGACGGCCGCCGACTGGCGCCGCCGCTCGTCCTCCAAGTTCTTCTTGTAGATGACGGTCGCCGCGGGCATGGCTGGCTCGGATTCGGCAGCTTTTCAGGTTCGGGCAGCCTCTTCCTTGGCCTTCGGGTGGGAAACTTTTCTTCGCGAGCTTGCGACGAAGCACGATGCTCGGCAGATCCTACGCGGCGGCTGCGGAAGGAGGCTGCCCACCCAACATACTGTGGCCCCAGGGACGCGGAAGTTTTGGCCCTGAGACGCGTCTGTATCCTTCTCCGATCCGCGGAAGCTGAATATTGAAGCTGGAACTGTCGGGGCTGCCACAAACAGATCGTCGCGAATCAGGACACTTCAGCCCCCTTGTTGTGCTGCAGCGCAGGCTGCCTCAGTGCGTGCGCGCGACCCCTCGGACGGCGTCTAGTGCGCAGATGGCTTCCTGGTTTACTTCGAACAAAGTCGGTATCGCGCCGAAATCGCTGGCGCCATCGCGGTCGACCAGCGTCGCTCCAGATGCGTCGACGAAATCGTCCGCGCCGGCGCGCTCGAAGTCCGCCCCGGAGCCGCGCCGGCCACCCGCCCCGGAGCCGCGCCGGTCAACGTCGGGCGCGTGCAAGGGCGACGCCGCGCGCAATTCGTTTGACTGCGCGTCTCGCTTCGACCGGCCGCCGCCGGCCGGGTCGCCGCGGAGATTCGACTAACCTGGGCACGACCTGGGGCGTCGGCGAGTCGAGCGTGCCCGGCCCTCAACCGCACCGGCGCACGGGCAGCCCGCCGGGCGAGGGCTTCGTCGCGGTGGCGGGCCCGACGGCGGCGACGACGGGCGTCCTCCGCCTCCAGCCGGGCCACTACGACCGGAGCGAGAACATGTTCCGCTTCGCGACGGGCGCGCTGGACCTCCTGGCCCTCCTCCAGAAGAAGCGGTGAGCTCAGGAGGACGCGGAGCGGCGCGCTTAGAAGCTAAAGACGGAGGGCGCCGCCGCGTGGGCCTGGGGCGCGCGCGCGGACGCGTCCTTCCAGGCGAGCTTCGTGTCCTTCTTCGCCGCGCGCTGGTCGCGCTGCGCGGCCTTGGCCGCGGCCTTGCGCGCCTTCTTCTCCTCGGGCGTCTCGCCCCTGCGCGTCGCGCAGGTCGTCGCGCGGGAGACGACGGACCGCCGGTCCTCCTCGCGCTTCTCCTCGGCGACGGCGTCGAGCTTCAGCCGGAGCGCGCGCTTCGCGGCGCGCGACGGCGGCTTGGGCCCCGCGCGCGGCGGCGCGTCGTCGATGACCTTGGGCCGGTTGTCGAGGTTCGACGTCGTCGAGAGGATGGACTCGCAGTCCCACTGGGGCGCGTCCTCGAGCTCCTTGGCGTCCTCGGCCGCGTACATGGCGTCGAGCTCGCGGTCCGCCTCGCCCTCGACGACGCGCTCCTCCTCGCCCTCGACGACGATGTCCGCGGGGCCCTGGGGGTCGAAGAAGGACTGGTCCTCGCCGTGGAGGAACGCCTCCCGGTCCTTGACGGCCTCGTCCATCATCGCCTCGAGCACGCCGCCCGCCTCCTCGAGCGCGATGCGCGCGACGCCGGACGCCACGCCGTCGTCGTCGTCGTCGTCGTCGTCGTCGTAGTCGTCCTCGTCGGAGTCGTAGTCCGCCAGCGCCGCGTCGAAGGCCGCGTCGACGTCGCCGCGCGGGCCGCCGTCCGCCGTCTCCGCGTCCGAGTCCCACCCCTCGTCGTCGTCGTCGTCGTCGTCGTGGAGGTGCCCGCTCCCCGCGTTCGCGATGAGCCGCGCGATGTGCGCGTCGTAGTCGAAGACGTCCTCCTCCTCGCCCTCGGGCGCCTGCGCCGCGTCCACCACGAAGTCGTCGAGCAGCTCCTCGCAGCCCTCGAACGCCGCGTCGTCGAAGAGCGCGTCGGCGACGTCGCCGTCCATGAGCGCCGGGTCCAGGGTCACGGCCTCGTACTCGCGGCCGATCTCCTCGTCGCCGGCGAACGCCTCGCGCGGCAGCGCCGCCGCTGTTCCCACCCCGCCGTCCGCGGAGACGAACGCGCCGCCGCCGATCTCGGCGAGATGGGACTCGTAGTCGTAGCCGTCGTTCGCGAAGCCCCGCGCCGTGACCTCGCTGTTCGCCGCCCGCTTGACGCCGTGCGCGTTCACGGGGCGCTGCGCGAGCAGCACGCGCTCGCTCGGCCGGTCCTCGATGCCCCAGGCGCCGTCCTGCTGCGACCGGTGGACGACGCTGTACGTCGTCGACGCCTTCTTGTCGATGAACTTCTTCTTGGGCATCCTGGCGGAGTCCTCCGGGCGGTCCTTCGGGCGGTCCTATCAGGTTCTATCGCCTGCCGAAGCTGCAGCTTCGCTGCTCGTGAAGGCAAGTTGCAGTCGGCATTACTCGTAGTCGTCCGAGTCGTCGTCCCCCGCCTCCGTCGGCGGCAGGCGGCTGCTGGGCCGGTAGCGGCAGGCGCGCTGGACGGCCAGCCGCAGGTCGCCGCCGCGGGCCTCGAGCGCGTGGAAGAGCAAGAACGTCGCGCGGTCCGAGACGCGCGCGCACCGTCGCGCGGTCAGCGCGCACAGGTCCGCCGCGGCGTCGACGAGCGCCGCGAGGGCCCGCTCGGAGATGCGATCGCAGCGCGACACGTCCACGTCCTCGAGGCGCGGGCACGCGGCGCCGAGCGTCGCCAGCGCGCCGTCGGAGAACGAGCCGCCGCGGACGCGCAGCACCCGCAGCGTCCGCGCCGCGGCGCCGGCCGCGAGGGCCGCGAGGCCGCGGTCCGACGCGCCCCGCGCCGTCCTCGGCGCCTCCTCGGCGCCGTCGGCGCACCACCAGGGCGCGTTGTCGCGGGCGTCGCCGCCGCCGCCGAGGCCGCCGCGGCGCCAGCCGCGCGGGAGCGGCGCCGCGGACGCGTCGAGCTCCTCGAGGCCCGCGAGCCCCGCGGCCGCGGCGAGGGCCGCGTCGGCGTCGAGGTTCGCGGCCTCGGCGAGGCGCAGCGCCGACAGGCCGGGCGCCTCGGCGGCGAGGATCGCGGCGGCGGCGGACGAGCACCGCGTCCGGGACACGTCGACGCCCCGGAGCGCCGGGAACCGCGGCGCGGCGCCCCGGACGCCGTCGCCGTCGTCGCCGAAGACGCCGTCGTCGACGCGGCCGCAGTCCGCGAGGAGGAGCGTCGCGAGGCCGCGCGCGCGGCGGAGGCACGCGCGCACGGCCGACGGCTCGAGCGCGCCGCACCGGCGGCAGTCGAGCGACTCGAGCCGCGGGAGGCGGCCGAGGCCCGCGCCGGCGACGCGCCGCGCGCCCGCGAGGGCGAGGACGCGCAGGCCGCCCGCGGCCGCGAGGACGGCGCCGAGCGCCGCGTCGCCGACGGCCCCGGAGCACTCGGACACGTCGAGCGCGGTCAGCGAGCCGAGGCTCGGCGCCGCGGCGGCGAGCGCGGCGCCGGCGAGGGCGCCGGGCCCGCGCGACAGGTCCAGCGTCGTGAGGCGCGCGCCCGCCGCGAGGCAGGGCAGCGCCGCCGTGAGCGCCGCGAAGGACTCGCGGTCCGCGTCCGGCGGCGCCTCCGGCGCGACCTCCGGCGGCCCGGCCGGCGCCGCGCGGCGCGCCGTCGCCGCGTCGACGCCGGCGCCGGAGCCGACGGCCGCGTCGACGACGCGCCGCTGGGCGCCGAGGAGCGCGCGCCGCGCCGCCGGCGGCAGCCGCGCGGCCGCCGCGCGGGCCGTCGCCCCGTCGCGCGCCGCGAGGCCCCCGAGCACGACGCGCGCGCAGAGCGTCTCGAGCGCCGGCGGCGACGCGACGAAGCCGAGGCCCGCGCGCGTCACGGCGACGCGCGGCTTCGCCTCGTCGAGCGGGTCCGCGCGGAACCAGCCCAGCACGCGGCCGCTGGCCCGCCAGTAGGCCTCGAGCGCCTCGGCGGTGCTCTCGGGCTCGTCGGCGAAGACGACGCCGTGGGCCGGCCCGTCGACGCAGCCGCTCGGACCGCACACGGGGCAGACGGCCCGCGCCTTGCCATCCCAGACGATGGCCATCGAGATGGGCTACTCCATCGTCACGAAGGGCACATTGCCCGACACTTCGGCTTGTCGCCTCCAACGCAACGGCGGGCCAAGCCGACTATCTCAACGATGGCGTCGTTCTCCGCCTCGACGCCCGCCGACAGCGCCTCGAAGAAGCGCGAGTCCGTCGAGAGCGTTTTCTCTACCACGAGCTCCCGCAAGAGCGGCGCATCGTTCGGCAGTGATGCCAGCTACGCGTTCGAGGCAGACAGCGAAGACGAGACGCCGCAGAAGGCCGCGTACGACGGCGAGGCGGCGCTGGAGGAGGCCCTGAAGGAATCGAAGCTCGCCGCGGACTGCGATCGCATCGCGCGCGAGCTCGGCGACGTGTCCCTCGGCGAGGAGACCGCCGAGGCGACGACGCCCGAGGAGATCGCGGCGTCGAAGGCGGCGCTGTCGGAGGACGTCGCGTCCGAGGCGGCGTCGGAGGCCGCGTCGGAGGCCGCGTCGGAGGCGTCGGCGCCCGCGTCCGACGTCTCCGAGGTGTCCGTCGGCGACGAGCCGCGCGCGCCGCTCGCGCCGTCGAACGTCGGCCGCGCGCCGGCGCACCTCGGCAAGGGCAACAAGCGGGGCATGTGCATGAAGCTCGACCGCGCGCCCCTCGAGAACCCGCTCGAGAACTGAGGCGATGACCGCGGCGCGGCCTCGACCGAGGCACGGACGCGCGGCGCCCCTAAGCACAAGCCACCTGCTTTCTTCCCTTATCACAGCTCGGCGTGGCGGGCCTCGAAGTCGGCGACGATCTTCGCGATGGTCGGGTCGCCCTCGTTGATGTCCCGGAGGATCTTGAGGCGGCGGAGGCTCCCCCGGTTCGGCGCGCGCGCGAGCTGGTCGCGGAAGTGGCCGTAGGCCGCGTCGCGATTCTCGCGGTCGATCTCGAGGATGCCCCAGTTGAGGTGGGGCGCGTCCCAGGTCGGGTCGCAGGCGGCCGCGGCGCCGTAGGCGGCCGCGGCGCCGGCGCCGTCGCGGCGCCGGCGCCGCGCGTTGCCGAGCTCGAGGAGCGCGCCGCAGTCGTGGGGCCGCGCGGCGAGCACGGCGTCGACGTGCGCCGCCGCGCCGGCGGTGTCGCCGGCGAAGTTCCGCCACTTGGCCGCGCGGACGCGCGCCTCGAGCCGCGCGGCCGCGGGCCGGTCCGAGCCCGCGCGCCGCTCCCAGCACGCCGCGGCGTCGAGGTTGGACCCGAGGTACTGGGTCATGACCTCGGCGATGCCGCAGGGCTTCTCCCCGGCGCCGGCCTCCATGGCCCGGCTGTAGTAGCTGAGCGACTCGTGGCCGAGGTCCGTGTCGTTGTCGTCCTTCGTAGGGTCCTCCTTCGTCGCGTGCCCGAGCGCGGCCCAGCTCTCGAAGTCGCCGGGGTTCGCCGACGTCGCCGCCGTGTAGAGGGCGAGGGGGCTGGCGTAGGCCGCGAGGCGCGCCGCCGTGCGCCGGGCCTGCAAAAGCGCGAAGGCCGCGGCGAACGCGGCCAACGCTTTCGCGAAGGGCGTCGCCCGCCCGGCGCGCGCCCGCGCGATGGCCAGGGCCGCGAGGGGCGCGGCGACGCCCGCCGCGGGCAGGTAGGCGTAGCGGTCCGCGACGAGGCCGTAGGCCGGCGCGCCCGCGGCGACGCCCACCGTCGGCGCCAGGAGGCACGCGTACGCGAAGCCGGCGGCCGCGGCGACGCGCCCGACGCCGCCGTCGCCGGCGACGAGGGCGAGGAGGAAGGCCGTCAACCCCGCCGCGAAGGCGAGGGACTGGCGGCTCCGCGCGAGGGCGCCGAAGGACGCGTGCGCCGCGTCGAACGCCGAATACCTCAGCGCCGGCGGGTTGTCCGGCGGCGCCGCGAGGGACCAGGCGTACCACGCCGCCGCGGCCAGGGCGTCGCGCCAGCCCTCGAAGACCAGGAGCCGCGCCGCCGCGTCGCCGGACGCCGCCGCGTGGCCGCCGCGGTGCAGGACCGCGCAGGCGAGCGCGGCGGCCGCGGCGGGCGCCGTCGACCGGAGCGCGTGGCGCAGCTTCTCGGCGTCGGTCCAGCCCCGGTCCACGGCGACGAGCGCGAAGGCGACGAGGGCCGGGCTGCCCACGGCCGTGGCCTTGGTCAGACACGCGGCGAGCGCGCACCCCGCGGCGGCCGCCGGTCGGCCGTCGAGCGCCTTGTGCGCGGCCTCGAGCGCGAAGCCCGCGGCGGCGAGCGCGGGCAGGTGGCGCGCCCAGGCGACGGCCTGGGCGTGGAGCGGGTGCGCGGCGACGAGCAGGCCGACGGCCGCCGCGGCCGCCGCGGCGTCGTCGCCGAGCCGGTAGCAGAGGCCGAGCGACGAGATCGCGACCCACAGATGGCACGCGAGCGACGCGACGCGCGCGGCGGCGGCCGACGCGCCGACCCAGTTCACGGCGACCTGCAGGCAGGCGCCGAGCGGGCCCGCGGTGCCCAGTCGCGGCGCCTCGAAGGCGCACCACCGCAGCGCCGCGCCGAGCGTCGCCGGGCGGCCGCGCGGCAGGTGGACGTCGTCCTCGACGTTCAGGTGTTGCAGGTCGCCGAAGAGGATCGCCGGCGCGTAGGCCAGGAGCGCCAGCGCGACGATCAGCGCGCGCGCGACGTGCAAAGGCGACATCTTGACGCCCATACGCGATCCGGCGAGTGCTCGTGCAAACCTCCACAAGAGCGCGGAGCATGGGCGCGTCCAAAGCGGCGGTTCGGGACTAGAACGCGACACTAAACGCTCACACAGGGTGTCCGCGTTCGCATCGCTCGTACACAATCAAAAAGATGGCGTCGCTGGACGAGGCAAGCCCGCCGGAGCCGCAGGAGGCCGGCGTCCAGCGGAGCTCGTCGCTGGAGCTCGAGGAGGAGGACAAGGAGGAGCTGCTCGACGAGGAGCTCTGGCGGGCGCGCAAGGCCGAGTACGAGGCGCAGATCGTGGGCCTCGAGGAGGAGCAGGCGACGCTGCGCGACGCGTGGTCCGACATCGTCCGCGACAACCTGTCGACGGTCGACGACCTGAAGCGGACGCTCGCCGGCCGCGCGAAGCTCCGCGACGAGGCCCGGGCGACGCGCGACGCGCTCGTCGCCAAGCTCGAGACGCAGCAGAACCACCTCGTCGCGGAGCTGGCCGCCGCGAAGCTGCGCGTCGCGGAGCTGTCCGACGCGCGCGACCGCGCGCACCACGACCTCGGCGCCCTCGCCAAGTCGCCGACGAAGCGGTAGCATCGTAAAATTAGTCCCCCTCGTCGCCCGCGTCGTCGCTGTCGGCGGCCACGGCCACGGCCCACGCGGCCTCGTCGACGACCGCCGTCCGCGCGCGCGACGACCGCCGCCGGGGCGCGCCGGCGGCGACGTCGGCGCCCGCCTCGTCGTCGTCGTCGTCGTCGTCGTCACTCGGGACCTCGTCCTCGTCGTCGTCGCTCGGTACCTCATCGTCGTCGCTCGGGACCTCGACGACCTTCCGGGGCGACCGCTTCCGCTTCTTCTTCGGCCGCGGCGGCCGCGCGTCCCGGATCTTCGCCCGCGCCTTCTGGTCCCAGACGTGCTTCGCGACGACGTGCGCCCGCATGAGGGCGACGGTGGCGAATCGCGGCGCGAGGCAGCAGGGGCACTTCGTGCT